GAGGACTCATGAGCCTTAACAGCACAAGATTCAGGTTCCATGGGGAAACTGGGTCCCCGACATGTGGGAGAGGCACTCCAGACCTTTCAAGAACTGCGCCACCATGGGCAAAGACCGACCTGCCTTGAAACAGAGGGTGGAACGCTGAAATGGCCTCCATGTGGACTTTGACCAAAGAGAGGGACGGACAGGCCCTGGAGCTTAACGTGCAGCAAATAATCCAAGATGTCCTGCAGCGGGGTCTCTTCAGCCTAAATGTGCCAATTTGAGGCCCAACACGTGAATCGTTTCCATTTTCCCAAGTAGGTTGTCCTGGTGGAAGGTTTCCTGCTGCCCAGCAAAAACTCGTTAGACACCAGCAGAACATGCCCATTCATCCAAACTTAGCCATGCAGTAGCCAAGCTGTCAAGTACCGTGCCACCAGGTTCGGATGCAGCAGATTGCCGTGGCTCTGGGGCAGCAGATCCAGCCGAAGAGGCAGCTGCAGCGGGGCAGCTGCTGAAAGACTTAGCAGCATGATGAATCAGTGCTGGCGAGGCCACGCTAGGGCTATCAGGATGTAGGACAAAGCGAACGTCTTCACCTTTACCAGGACCCTGTGGATTAACGGCACAGAGAAGGCGTACAGCAGCACTCCCGACCACGGGATCAAGAAGGCGTCTGACAGGGAGCCCTTCTCCCTTCCCTGCAGAGAACAGAACACATGGCACTTTCAGTTCTGCCTGGACACAAACAGGTCCACCTGGAGAGTCCCCCACCTGTTAAAGATTAGTCTGACCGCCTCCAGATGGAGCGACCATTTGTGGCGAGACAAGAAGGTCCTGCTGATGTCATCTGCCAAGATGTTCTTGCTTCCAGGTAGGTGTGCGGCTACCAGATGAATGGCATGCCGCACATAAAAGTCCCAGAGGCTAAGCACCTCCCAACAAAGGGGCAAAGACCCGGCACCACCCTGCCTGTTGATGTAATACTTTGTGGCGATATTGTCCATCAGGACCTGCACCTCCTTGCCTTTCAGGTGAGGCAACAGAGCCTGGCAGGCCAGGAAAACTGCTCTGAGCTCCCTGATGTTGACATGAAGGGCTAGATCATGTCAAAACCAACTACCCTGTATGCTGAGCTTGCCCAAGTGGGTTCCCGAAGCCCAGATCCGATGCATCTGAGACCAGAATCAGTGACGGGGTCACAAAGGGAACTCCCTACAGCACTGACTCGGGATCCAGCCACCAGTCCAGGGACAAAAGGATGTGGTTTGGAACCGTGATCACTTGGTCCAGGGCATGCCTGCTGGGGATATAGACCGAGGCCAGCCACGCTTGCAGAGGCCGTAGATGAAGTCGAACATGGCTGACCACGTACATGCAGGAAGCCATGTGGCCCAGCAGTCGCAGGCAGGTGTACGCCGTGGTGAGCGGGTGGTTCTTTACATGGGAGATCAGGTCTGACATGGCCTGAGATCATGCTTCCAGAAGGAAAGCCCTGGTCCGCATGGAGTCAAGAATTGTTCTGATAAATTCTATGCGATGGACTGGCGTTATCATGGACTTTTGCATGTTTATCAACAGACCCAGATTGCGGCAGGTGGAATGCACCAGATCAGCTTCCTTTGCACCTGCTCTGGAGATCTGTCCTTGATGAGCCAGTTGTCAAGATACGGGAAAATTTGGACCCCTCAACGTCTCAGATAAGCCTTCACTGCTGCCATGCATTTTGTGAACACCGTGAGTGCTGAAGACAGGCCAAAGGGCAGTGCTGTGAACTGGAAATGGGGTCCTACCACTATAAAATGGAGGAAACGCCAGTGCCCTGGGAATATGGAGACACGAAAATAAATGTCCTTTAAGTCGAGAGCAGCGTACCAGTCCCCTGGATCCAGGGAGGGGATGATGGAGGCCAGGGAAACCATAAGGAACTTCAACTTCTTGAGAGAATTATTCAGATGACACAGGTCCAGGATGGGTCTTAGTCCCCCTCCCTAATTTGCCTTTGGGATGAGGAAGAAACGGGAGTAGAATCCTCGTCCTTTCATGTCCCGAGGAACCTCCTCCTGCAAGAGGAGCTGCTCATGAGAACAGTCCCTGAAGAGGGATGGGGGTGGGTGGGAAGGTATAGCCCCGAGATATTATATCCAGGACCCAAAGGTCTGAGGTTACCCGCAACCAAGCCAAATGGTAGGGGCAAGGAAAGATCAGGTAGGATCTGTGTAACTGACTGGGGCGTCGCTCTTGAGCGCACCCTCAAAATGAGCGCTTTTGGGCCTCTAAGCGCTTGGTGGGACCAAGTTACGCAGGCGAGTGAGAGGAAGAAGGGTGGCAATGGCTGAAACTAGTGTCTCTTTTGCTTGCAGAGCCCTGACAAGGCTGCTAGGGCTTTAGCGGCAGGGGTGCCAAACTCCTGGGCCAGGCCATGTGGGAGAGATTCCTGGAACTTGTGCAGAGCATCCCAGAGATTAAAATTATATCTACCCAACAGGGCCTGATGATTCGCCACCCGAAACTATAAGCTGGCCATTTTTCTCCCAAAGAGATCGAGTCTTTTGGCCTCTTTGTTCTTGGGAGTCGAGGAGGTGTGACCCTGTTTGTCTTTTTCATTGGCCGCAGACACAACCAGAGAGACTTGGGGTGGGTGGGTTTATAGGTATTCAAAGTACTTCTTTTCAGCCCTTTTGGAGATGGAAGGGATGGAAGAAGGGGTTTGCCCTAGGCCCTTGGCAATTTTAAGAACTCCTTCATGTACGGGTAGGGTCACTCGGGTGGGCACAGAGGCTGAGAGGATATTAAAGGGGGTGTCCTCCTGCTCTGTCATCTCCAAACCTCCAGGCCAAAATTCTCAGCTACACGCCGAAGTAGGGCCTGATGTTCCTTGAAGGCATCCGGAACGCTAACCCTTGAAGGCCACATGACCACCTTGTCCATTGATGATGAGGAAGATTGGACTGCTGGAGGGAGTCCCAGGGGTTCTACCACCTCCAGAGAGGGCGACTTAGGGGTGGACACAGACTCCTTCGCCCCAACCTCTGAACAGGTTCCCGGCACCAAGCCCAGTGCCATTGTTGCCACTGAATGATGCTCCAAAGCGGCAACCAAAAAGCGCTGCAAAGGGGGCATCGTCATCACCAGTACTCCCCATGCGCTCCAATAAGGCCACTGTGCTGGCCTGGCCGGGCTGCCACTGCAGTGCCGCAGACGACAGCCCAGGCTCTAGTGCCCAATCTTGCCGATGGTACCTGGGCAATGGGCTGAACTGGCTTTCCATGACAGAGGAATAACCATCCAGTGACCAGGGAGGGGCAGTCAATGCCTGCGTCTGCTTGCTGGTCACTGGCTTTCTGACCAATGACCAGAGATGGGAGACCATCATTGCTACCAAAGAGATCGTACCGAAGCAGAGACGGGAAATGCTCCCACTGTGCTGGCAATCGGTACCAATGTCAAGAGGACAACTGACAGGAGGATGACCAGTGCCAGGAATAATATGGGGAATGACATCCTCGTGCAGGTGAGTAGCGCCAAAGGTAAGGGTTGGACATGTCCCAGGATCCACAACACAATGCGGCGGATCGTCGCCTCTTCTCCAGTGACCGGTGGTGCTCCTCTGCCCCTTTAGGGGTCTTAGTGTCTGGCTTGCCCTCTTGGGGAGCCTTATCCAAGTCCTGTGGCACCTGAGTCGTTAGCTGCACAGGTGGAGACGTCTGGTCTCTCTGCACCTTGGACAACAACGGTGCCAAAGGTGTGGGTCCCATACCGCTCCCAGGAGTTGGTGGTGGACCTTTGAGGGGGCTGGGAGCTCCAACCAGGGCGGCATGGATACGTGGCTCTGGAGTGGCCTGGCAGCTTGGCCCGGGCCCTTGCTCGACGACCCTTGGGCATTTTTCAACCCTAATCTTCTATGATAGTCCCCAGGCTGGGGAAGAGTCCCACAAAGGGAGGGAAAGTCCAAAACAGTAACAACTAGCAACTATCTGAATGGACAACTAACTACACCTAGAGAAGAAAAATCTGTGTACAAGGAAAAAAGATGAAAAAGGCAGTACTTGAAGCAAGCTAGGAGCACTGAGGAACACGGATTCTGATTCTGGCCATGCAGCGGTAAGAGGGAACTGGAATGGCGTCGACCTGTACCCTGTGTCTTAAATCCTTGGACATGTGACAATTCGGGTCAATGGACACTACTATGAACAGTTCTGGCTCTGGTGCACATGCGAACCCATGTTTGGAATCCACATAGAAGAAGAAAGGTTTTCAAATATGTTATGTAAAATTAGAAAGTAAGTATTTGTATTTGTGTAATCTACAAATAATGCATTTTTAATCAGAGTAAAATTCACCCCTCCCATCAAAAATCCAGAGTGATCAGTCTTTGTGCTGGGCACTAAGTGGATGACTGGATAGAATTCACACCCATTGACATGCAAGTAACAATGCTACAGCACAGCCTCTCTGGCATGAATAATGGCTGCAGAAGATTCGACCCAACGGATTCGCATAAATGAAGATCCAGAGTGACCCCTTTCCAACAACCTGGCTCTGTCTACACAGTAAGTTACTGAGCAGCAAGCAAGGGCATAAAACTACAGGCACCAGATTTCCACACAGTAACATCCACGTAGACAATGCTAAAGAGCAGTGAAAGCCCCGGAGTGCAGCATGGCATATTACTACTTGAAGACATAATACACTAAGTAGATTTGCATCCTCATTGTACAAAAAGCCTTTAGAGTATTAGGTTAGACCCTCGAGGGGAAAATGTCTAGTACATGACTACTCTGCCAATGTTTCTTTCTGTCTGCAGAGGCACTGCAGGTCTTGAGTGGTGTAGAGAGCTGTGCACAGATGCATCAACTTGGGTGAAATTCATCCTTAATTTGGGATCTTAATTAACAAAATAATTAAATTAACGTTGTACATGAGCTTTGCAGTGAACCTTTACTTTTCACTTCCATATCTATAAAATATCTGCAGTGATAAATATAAACATAACTCTAATTATTGATACTCACTTAGAAATTGGATTGACACTGGCTTCAATAATTGTTAAACACTTACAGCACTTTATCGTTTCTGGAAAATCTTGAATCCCTAGAAAGAAAAAAAGTTTGAAAGGTATTATAAGGATGTTCTATGAAAAACTGCTAAACTTGCTTAGTCAATATCTAATTTAGCCAAGTTAGATGTCTAAATCAACAGAGCCAGATGAGATACATTCTAGAATACTTAAGGAACTGGCTGAAGAGATCTCTGGGCACATTACTGGTTATCTTTGAGGACAGGAGAGATACCAGAGTACTGGAAAAGGGCAAATATAGTACTATTTATAAAAAGGGGAATAAGGACAACCCACGGAATTAAAGGCCAGTCAACTTAACGTTGGTACCGAAACATAATGGAGCAAATAACCAAACAGTTTGTAAGCACCTAGAAGAAAATAAGGTAGTAACAGTCAACACAAATTTGTCAAGAACAGATCATGTCAAACCAACCTGATATCCTTCTTTGACAGTATAACAAACCTTGTGGATAGCGGGAAGCAGTAGATGTGATATATCTCAACTTTAGTAAGGTTTTTGATACTGTCTCACATGACCTTCTTATAAACAAACTCGAGAAATATAGTCTAGATCAGTGGTTTTCAACCTGTGGTCCATGGACCTCTGGGGATCCGTAGACTATACCTAGGATTTCCAAAGGGGTCTGGTACTCCATTTGAAATGTTTTAGGGGTCCACAAATGAAAAAAGTTTTGAAACTACTGGTCTAGATGAACCTACTATAAGGTGGCTGGAAAACCATACTCAGAGAGTAGTTATCAATGGTTCACAGTCAAGCTGGAAGAGCATATCAAGTGAGGTCCCAGAGGGATCTGTCCTGGGTCCAGTTCTATTCAATATCTCATAAATGATTTGGATAAGGGCACAGAGAGTACACTTATAAAGTTTGCAGATGATACCAAACTGAGAGGAGTGGCAAGGACTTTGGAGGATAGGACTACAACTCAAAATGATTTTGACAAACTGGAGAAATGGTCTGAAATAAATAGGATAAAATTCAATAAATCAACGGCACAACTACAAACTGGGAAATGACTGCCAAGGAAGGAGTACTGCAGAAAGGGATCTGGGGTTACAGTGGATCACAAACTAAATGTGAGCTAACAATGTAATACTGTTGCAAAAAAAGTTAACTTCATTCTGGGACGTATTAGCAAGAGTGCTGAAATCAATTAATGAGAAGTAATTGTACCACTCCACTCAACACTTATAAGGCCTCAACTGGAGTACTGTGTCCTCCAGTTCTGGACATTTCAGGAAAGATGTGGACAAACTGGAGAAAGCCCAAAGGAGAGCAACAAAAATGATTAAAGGTCTAGAAATCTTGAGCTATGAGGAAAGATTGAAAAAATTGGGTTTCTTTAGTCTGGAGAAGAGAAGACTGAGGGGGACCTGATAATAATCTTCAAGTACATAAAAAGTTATTATAAAGGGGAGTGGTTTTCCTTAACCACTGAGGACAGGACAAGGAGTAATGGGCTTAAATTGCAGCAAGGGAGATTTAGGTTAGACGTTAGAAAAAAACTTCCTATCTGTAAGGGTAGTTAAGCATGGGAACAAATTACCTTGGGAGGTTGTGGAGGTTAAGAACAAGTTAAACAAACATTCGTCAGAGACAGTCTAGAATGATAATACTGTGTCCTGCCTCAGTACAGGGATTGGACTATATGTCTTGAAGTGCCTTCCAGTCCCACATTTCTATGATTCTATCTTCACCAAGAAGTTTTCATTAGTAATGTAGAGTACCGCTATAAATTCAGGTCAGCATTCAGACACAATAGGTTTTTGTATTTTTTTCATTATTAGTGATCTTTCAGTTGTATATGAGGTGGCTAACCAACAGGTGCTAAAGCTTATATTCCCCCAAATCAACTGCAGTATTTGGGCAAATTCTTCTGGCAGGTCAACAGGACAGTAGCCAACTTAGGTACCATCATTTGCAAAACTCCCACTGGATCCAATGCTGAGTACCACCAATGTAGGGTTATGACAAGTATTTTGTCTATATTTTGTGACTGTGACAGTTATGATTAAAATATTAGAACTGGCAAAATTTTATATATTGCAGTTCTTGATCATGAATACATTAGAAAAATCCTTTTATCCTAGAATTTCAGACAAGAATTCTTCAGTCAATGGTAATTGCAATTGCTATGCAAGACCTATGTTGTGTCCAGCAAAGAAATGACTAGGACATCACTTCTATATTGAACAGCAAGGAAGCCATGGTACACACAAAATGTAAGTGGATCTCAATATATAGGCTTAAAGTCTAAGCACTCATCAAGCCTCACTGAAGTACAGCTTCCAGCCCTACAAAAAAGATCCAAGGGTATAAAACAGCAAAAAAATTATTGTGGCACTCAAAGCAGCACCCTGGAACCCCCATATTCACCCCATCATATAAGTATGGTATATTTCATACAAAGCATGCCATTAAGATACTGTAGGAAAGGCCCTGATCTGCTGAAACCCACTGTTAGGTCAAAATATGTATACTGTTAGTGTGTATGAAGACATGAGATTTTGCTGTATAGTTATTACTGAAATATGTTGAAAGTTTGAGAGTCATACACTGCCAGTTCTCCAGTGACAACAAAGAAGATGATCCTCTCCAGGTAGGGTTAAACAACCATTAATCAGCAGGGGAGTTTTAAACAAGGGATCTGCAATGCTGTAAAAGAGCTGCACAAACATCACACAATGGGGGATTGCTCAGCTATGTGACTCAGCAAAGCCCACCAAGACGTGTCTGGGGGCTAGTGTTTTCTAGGCACATGGACTGAAGATATAAAATAGGTGAGGGTGGTATCATGCTTTTATCTTTCTCCTCCCTCACTTAAGTCGGAAGCAACAAGAATGCTTGAAAGACAAAGACTTGAACTGAGGAGATTGTCCCAGGCTTAAAGGGGAAGCCTTAATACATGTATTAAGAACTGTAACCTACCTGCAACACCTAGTGGGGTGAGGAAAACTGCTTGATTCAAATACTGCCTAGTCTAATATGATTTAAGATTTAAACTGAGCACTTACCAAAGAAAATAAAAGATAACTATCTCTAACCTTTTGCACCTGCCACTTATAATTTAAAATCTACCTTTCTCTAGTTAATATACCTGTATTATATTTACCTAAAACAGTGTATTTGGTTGAAGTGCCTGGGAAATCTCAGCTCAGTTTACAAAGGCTAGCAGGTGTCCTCTCCACATCAAGGGAGGAGTCGAGTTAGTAATAAACTTACACTGGTCAGGTTTCTGAGGAGGGCAAGATGGTATATTCCAGGGGTGCAAGGCTGGGGGCTTAGGAGATTTGCTGGTGCCTTTTTCTGTGTGATTTCTGAGTGGTTCAGGGAGCATTCACACAACTTAGCTGGGTGGGGGGCTTGTCACCAGCAAATCATTGTGAAAGACAGCCCAGGCTGGAGAATTAAGAGGACACTGTAGTACCTCAGCTGCAGATTGTACTCCAGGGATCCCATGGACATTTCCTTAATCTGTTAATTTCACTCCTATTCCATGAAATAACTTCCCCCTAACTAAACTGATATAAACCCAAATTGTGAGAGAAACCGAGAGAAAGAAATGGCTCCCAATGCTCTATGTAAGTATAAGAATCAACTAGGGATATCAAAAAAGAAACAGCTAATAATTACAAATCTATGTGTCAGGGTGCATATCAAAGTCTGACTGATTTATTCAATTGTCTTCTATCCATTTTCGTTTAAAAACAACAAAAAGACTAAATGAGAGTGGAACTTAATTCTTTACCTCTTCTCAAAAACTCTTAACCTTTCTGAGAATTTATTACGAATGTTTACATTAACTACTTGCTTCTCTCCAGGAGAGCATGACTGGAATAAATACAATTTCAACTTGTTAATTAAGCAAGAAAAATAAATCACAGATTGTTCAAAAACCAAAAAAAATGACAACATACTTACTTAATTGCACAACCAAATTATGGATTCTAGGAAATGTATTTGATATATATTGTGTTCTGGGGTCTGAAAAGTTGACATCATAAGTCCAGATTTTGTAATATAATAGTTAGTTTTCTCTGTTTTTAAATCACTGGAGAGCCAACATGAATGCTGTCTTTCAGTATGTTTCTGAATAAAGAATATAAAATGCCAAATTTTCAACCAGTCTGAGCCAAGCCTTTTTCTTTGCCCACAATTTTATGAGTGCAAAGAGCTGCAAAGAAATTTAGATTACCTGGACATCTAAGTAAATGATTCATGAGTATAATTTGCTACTTAGCCCCATAGATGACAAGAACTCTGCTTATGTTTATAATGTTGGTACAAATACAGAAACTAATGTCTGAAAACCCAATTGACTAAAAGTCTTACCTAAAGAGTCTATGTATAGCTTACTGTGTTCCTAAAGTGCCGGGACTGTGAAAAACATTTGCAGCGTCACATCTTGCCATTGTTCCCTGTGCAGAACTGCCACTGAAGCCAGCAGGAATTTAACTTTTCCATAAATAGCAGGACATAGCTCAAAAAATCATAACCATGGCAGGGTTAGCAGACTTTCAGATATGGCTACTGGTGCAAGTAGAAATGCACAACAACATTACTAGCAGTGAGAACTGCTGATATTTTCTATTCACTGACCCTCCTCCCTGACTGGTTAAAATGTTAGAATATTTTAAGTACTTTATCTGTCTGTATCAGTATGACAACTGTCTGTATTCTAAGTAATGTGAGTCATCAGTTGAAGTTATTTGATGTTAATTTTTTTTATTAGACATGACATGGAAACAGCATCTGTCTGTTTACTCTGTGAACGGAGTGAAATAACCCACGAGGTGACAAACTCAAATGCAAAATCAGCTATAGAGTGCTGACACAAGAAATATTACACCTGAGCATGTCACCCAAGGACTAGGAGATTACAGTCCTATGCTGTTAATGGAAACTAGTAGCTTTGTGCCATTTCCCAGCCACATTCTATTTTGTAAAGTAAAGTCTAACCTTTTTCCATTTCAATTTTAAGTATGATCTTTATTTTGGGGATGAAAAAGCAAAATGTCCATACCTGATATAGTGTGTTAGAATAACCTTATTAATATTTCGGAATTTATCTTCCCCCAGAAATAAAAATAAGATTTATTTTCTACTAACTATTTCTGCCTTTCATTCATTTTTGAACTTTGTCTTTTCCTACTTGTATTTCCTGTCTTCTCTGGCCTCTTTGTTTACAACTCTAACCTTGTCCTCGGGTAAAATTTTCAAAAGCACCTTAAGACCAGTGATGGAGAATCCACCACAAACTGTGATAAATTGTTCCAATGGTTAATTACCCTCACTGTTAAAAATGTGTGCCTTATTTCAAATTTGAGTTTGTCTAGCTTCAACTTCCAGCCACTGGCTCTTCCTATACCTTTGTCTGACAGATTGAAGAACTTTCTATTACCAAATTTCTGTTCCCCCTGCAGGTACTTTTAAACTGTAATCATGTCAACCCTTACTCTTTGAGCAAGGAAAGTGGACACTGAGGGTTATCTGTCCTGCTGCACTCCATGGAGATGAGCAGGGGACCCAGGTGCTGATTTTATTCATTCATTTCACTATCAGTAGTTTATCCCCATAATCCTGCTTCAGAAGGAAACTGAAATATTTTCAAAGAAATCTCCAAGCAGCAAGCAATTTCCCTGTTCTCAAAGAGGTGGGATTTGTCTACCCTCCCCTGCATGGACTCTCTCTGAGTCTCTCAATGAAGGAATTGGCCTGGGACTCAGGGACAGGTTTCCCAGAAGCTATACCCTCTCTCTTGCATGTAATCCATATGGGCTAGGTAGATCTGTGTTTCCTTTGGAGGTCTCAGCCTTGGGGCCTATTATCCCTTTTCGCACTTTCTGGTGTTGGCAATGCCCATGGTGTGTCCAGTGCCCCTCCATCCATGACCCATGGGGAAGAAGAGAGGGAGAAAAAGACTGAGCTCTGTAGTCAGAGGCATGGCTGCTTGTGCAGGCTAGAGAGACTCAGGTGCAATCTTCTATCCGGTGCACTGCCCTTCTGGTTTCACACCACTCATGGAGATGGGGGACAGGTGGCTGCTTGCCCCTGGAGCCACCTTTTTTCCAGTCTTGCCTGGCTACTGGCCTGTAGGAGGGTGGCACCAATGCAACCCCATCAGGCTTGGGCTTCAAGGGAAACTCTACTCACAGAGCTGGCCAAGCTCCATTGGAGACACTTGATAAGGGGATAAGTAGGACACTCAGGACCTTCCATTTACTTCTGGATTTACGCAGCCTAGCTCTCTCCCTGGCTTTATCTTCACTATAAAAAAAGTTGTATTCTTAACTCAAAATAGCATGTCCTGCCAGCTCGTGCAAAAACTATATCCTGCCTTGTCTTTACTAGGATTTTACATCAAGTTACCTAAGTTAAGAATAGGCCTTTTTTCCTAGTGAATACAAGCCCCCTGAAGTCTGCAGGGGCAACAGCCACTGCAAACACCTTGGAAGGGGAAGTGGAGCCAAGGGGACAATCTCCCCCAAAGGCGAATGCAGCCCTGGGACGTGGCTGGGAGTTGGACAGAAATTTATGAACCAAATTGTTAGTCAAAAATTTTGAAAAAGTTTGGAATTTTCCTCTGAAAAGCTCTACAGCAGGGAGGTCTGTCTGAGCCATGGGCCACTTTGTAGACAGAATAAAATGAAGGGAACTTAATGGGACAGAGTATCCCCCTGCTGTTAGTGACTGACAGATCTAGTTCTGCCCCTAAAATGGAAACAGGATGAAGAAACATATATGTGGACCTTAGCACGATGAAAATCTACTGTAAGATTCACTGTAAGTCACTGTAAGATTCACAAGAAAGCAGGAGTAGGAATCAAAATATATTTTAAAAACAGTTTTGACCAGAATAAAATGATTCAGGTGTACAGTGCCAAAAATAATTGTCTGGGTTTTGTTTTTGGGATCTTCACCTACACCAATAATGAAAATCTGCTAGAAAAGAATATTCAATTAGCTAATATTGTTACAGTGAAAAACTGAACATAAACAAATCCATGCTATGGTACTGTCATCTGTCTCTTAATCACACCGTAATTCAAGCTGAAACTGGAATATCACTAAAATTGTTTTAATTCCAACATTCAGATTCATTGTTGACTTGCTAAATGGTTAAACTATTTGTCATATTATTTTATTTATTTTTAAATCTCACTTTATCTGCTACTGTATATTGTGCATTGGGAACATATTAATCCTTATAAAACATAAAATGAATTTCAGGTTCTATAGCTATTTTACGCTATCTAGGCCAAATTATGGCAGGCATTGCACACAGATTATATTGGAGGATGGGGATGAAATCTTTACTGACCACAGTGAAATGTCAGAGAGCCCACTAAAAGGAGTGAAACTACTTTGGATGTAAACAGAAAGCAAAATTTAGTTCATTTTTTTTAGAGTTTTCTAGAAGAGTAATTTTTTCATTCATTTAGCATTAAAATCTTATTACAGCAATGCTATGCAAAATGTTCAAAAATTTCACCACAAAATTTCAAATTATTTTACTGTTGTGTTCTTACCATTTTTACTGATGTCAAGTTCCTTGAGATTAACTAAACTAGCAATAGTGGTTGGCAGGCTTGAAAGGTCGTTGTCTGGTATACTCAGTTTACGCAGAGCTTGACAGTTGAACAATTGCTACAACATGAAACAGAACAATTGCAATTAACATGTTTTAGTAAAATTCAGTTTACCATTGTTATTTACACACGGATGCAATAATAACTGTATCATAAAAATACTCTGAGGACAGCAAAATAATAAGCTAAAAATAACCAATCAACCTATATTAAAACTGTTTGGGAAGACATACTTACATATTACATTACACTTTAAACAAGGAAGATTACCCAGAGATAAATGTGCTGCTTACAAATAATTCCTAATGAAGTATAGTTTTAAGATGGACCTTTATAAGTTTATGAGTGCGATTATATGGTGGGGTTGCTCATGATAGCAGGGGACTGGTCTTGATGATCCAGGAGGTCCCTTGTAGTCCTATAATTTTATATCAATCATAGAGCTATTTGAAAATTTTTCAGCAGAGCTTTTTTCCATCAGAAAATGCAAATTCTTCAAAATAAAAATGTTTTATGTGAATGTGTCAATTACGATGAAATTTTTGATGGGAAAAAGATGAAATATTCATTTCAATTTTCTCAGTGTATTTCAGAATTGCCAATAAGGTAAAATGTTTCATTACAACTTTATATTTCAATTCAATTTGCTTCAACTTTTATATTATATTAAAATATTCATTTTAATATATTATTATTTTTCATAATTTTCACTCCATAGGAAATTTTGAAAGTTCTGCTTTTTGTTCCAATTCAAAACAATTTTTTCCAAGTGCTGGAATTTCCCATGGAACAAAATTTCATTTTCTGACCAACTCTAATCAATATATCATATGGTATGCATTTATACTGATGTTTCTTCCATATAATAGCAGTTGTTATCCAACTACAGCAACTTCAAACCCAAGATAAATAGTAAAATAATGGAGACAATACCATACTGAGCAAGAGATGTCTCTAGGACTAGAATGTGTCATTTAGACACAGTCCATTGTAAGGGGCAAGTATAGAGCTTTTTTTATGAGGAGTAAGCAAGCTGCACCTTTAAGATGGGGAAGCCTGCTCTCCATCACTCACTCAATCCATTCCTCAGGCTGGTGCAGGTGTGGGGGTGAAACCATAGCACACCCTCCTCCCTTGGGGTGGTTTGTGTCCCCCCATGGATGCATGCAGGGAACAGTCCACATGCTCTCCAAACACAGGGACTGTGTGCTCCTATTAGTATAGAGGACATATTATGGAAAAATAGACTGGGAGAGGGGAGGACAGGAAAACTCAGTCCTTGCCTGGCTGGCCTGACTGTTAAAAAACTGATGTCACCAGAAGCACCACCCTGCATATAGCTGGCTTCAGATATCTGCGAAGTGACCTCTCCCCTAGCCACCTATCATACAGACTGCATATGTCTTGCAGTGCATAGGTGCTTAACCCCAACCCCTCATTTCTGTACTGCAGATTCTTAAGCTGTTATCTTGTAAAAATGAGTTTGTTATTACTAGTCACATTAATATGATTAGAAAACAAGTTTACCCAGTGGTCTTGGATTCCAAAAGAACTTACTCTCCTTTGGAAGAAACTTCATGACTCTTCAGAAGTTAATGATATTTTCAAAACAGCTTTGATACCTCTTTTTTGCAATGTTTCATATCCAAATGACGTTTAAATTTGTACCCAAATGTCTATTTGAGAATGTAGCTTGATTTGATTACCAAACTGAGTAAATAAAGGAAACTGGGTAGCAGGGAATTAATCCACAAATGATGCTCAAAAGCTAATGTGAACTAAATAAGTCATTTAAAGTAAATTTTAGCTCATTTTCAGGCTTTCACTTCTTTTGAAAACACTATAACTTTACATCTGAGCCTTTTAATAACAAGAACCCTCTGTGTTGCTTTTCAAGGCAGTCTACTTTCTCCAAAACTGGAAGTCCAAAACCAGCTTTAACCCAAATGGGTATCACACAAATAGAATATAGGCAGAATGAAACATATAGGACAATGACCACCACGAATTTCTAAGAAATAGGAGTGTTTTTTTTTAATTGAAAGCCTTCCTTTAGACTTCCTCTATGCATTGACTAAGACTTTTGCTGTTAAGCCTTCTCTTTTCCTTTCAACAAAGGCATTATCCTAAGAATTGCTTTTATGTTTATTACAAAAATATCATACTAGGGCTGTCAAGCAATTAAAAAAATTAATCACAATTAATTGCACTGCTAAATAATAGAATACCATTTATTTAAATATATTTGGAATTTTCTACATTTTCAAATATATTGATTTCAACTACAACACAGAATACAAAGTGTACAGTACTCACTTTATATTTATTTTTGATTATAAATATTTGCACTGTAAAAAACAAAAGAAAAAGTATTTTTCAGTGCACCTAATACACGTACTCTTTATTATGAAAGTTGAACTTACAAATGTAGAATTATGTACAAAAAAACCTGCATTCAAAAATAAAACAATATAAAACTTTAAAGCCTACAAGTCCATTCAGTCCTACTGCAGCCAATCGCTCAGACAAACAAGTCTGGTTACAATTTGCAGGAGATAATGCTACCTGCTTCTTGTTTACATCACCTGAAAGCGAGAACAGGAGTTTGCATGGCACTGATGTATCCGGCATCACAAGATATTTACATGCCAGGTGCACTAAAGAGTCATATGTCCCTTCATGCTTCAACCACCATTCCAGAGGACATGTGTCCATGCAAATGACGTGTTCTGCTCGATAACAATCCAAAGCAGTGCAGACCGACTCATGTTCATTTTCATCATCTGAGTCAGATGCCACCAGCAGAAGGTTGATTTTCCTTTTTTGGTGGTTCAGGTCCTGTAGTGTTGCTCTTTTAAGACTTCTGAAAGCATGCTCCACACCTCACCCTCTCAGATTTTGGATGGCACTTCAGATTCTTAAGCCCTGGGTCAAGTGCTGTAGCAATTTTTAGAAATCACACATTGGTACCTTCTTTGCATTTTGTCATATCTGCCCTGAAAGTGTTATTAAAATGAACATGTGTTGGGTCATCATCCAAGACTGCTATAACACGAAAAAAATGGCAGAATGTGGGTAAAACAGAACAGGAGACATACAATTCTCCCCCTAAGGACTTCAGTCACAAATTTAATTAATGCATTATTTTTTTAACAAGCATCATCAGCATTGAAGCATGTTCTCTGGAATGGTGACCAAAGCATGAAGGGGCATACAAATGTTTAGCATATCTGGCAGTAAATACCTTGCAACACCAGCTACAAAAGCGCCAAGCAAACGCCTGTTCTCACTTTCAGGTGACATTGTAAATAAGAACCAGGCAGCAGTATCTCCCGTAAATGTAACAAACTTGTTTGTCTTAACGATTGGCTGAACAAGAAGTAGGACTGAGTGGACTTCTAGGTGCTAAAGTTTTACATTATTTTGTTTTTGAGTGCAGTTATGTTACAAAAAAAATCTACATTTGTAAAAATCTACACTTTCATGATAGAGCTTGCACTACAGTACTTGTATGAGGTGAGTAGAAAAATACTATTTCTTTTGTTTATCATTTTACAGTGCAAAAATTTGTAATAAAAATAATATAAAGTGAGCACTGTACATTTTATATTCTGTGTTGTAATAGAAATATTTGAAAATGTAGAAAAACATCCAAAAATATTTAATACATTTCAATTGGTATTTTATTGTTTAACAATGCGATTAATCATGATTAATTTTTTTGAGTTAGTCGCTTGAAGTAACTGCGATTAATCGACAGCCCTATATCATACCCATGTAGAGGGACATTTTCATTACAAAATTAAGAAAACTTACACTTCTAAAAAAAAACTATTACAGAGCTGGGGTCTAGGACACATACTGTTTACCCCTGCTCCCAAACCTATTTGTGCATTTCTGCTGTCTAGCCACTGGTACAAAAAGGAAACTGCTCTCAGGAGAACAGTGTATTTCTTAATAACACTATGTACAAAAACACACTCCTTTAGAATGCAGATAAAAATCAGCACCACAGCATTCCCTGTTTTTAAGAACTGCATCATTTCTAGAGAGGACTATGGAGTCACATAAATATAGATACCATATGGACTGTAGCTACAATTTCTAGCCACTAGAGGTCTTCATTACTTCAAACTAATACATACATCCGATGAAGTGGGTATTCACCCACAAAAGCTTATGCTGCAATATGTCTGTTAGTCTATAAGGTGCCACAGGACCCTTTGCCACTTTTAGAGATTCAGACTAACACGACTACCCCTCTGATACTAATACAACAGTAAGCTATGGTATTTCACTAAATCATAGAAATGTAGGGCTGGAAGGGAACTCATTGAGAAGTCATCAAGTTCTGCCCTTTGCACTGAGGCAGGACCAAGTAAATCTAGACCATCTCTGACAGGTGTTTGTCTAACCTGTTCTTAAAATCCTCCAATGATGGGGACTCCGTAACCTCCCTATTTTAACTACCCTTTTACTTAGAAAGCTTTTCCTAATATCTAACCTAATCTTCCTCACCACGGATTAATCCCATTACTTCTTGTCCTAACTTCAGTGGACATGGAGAATAATTGATCACTGTCTTCTTTATAACACCTCTTCACATAATGAAGACAATCAGGTCTCCCCAAAGTCTTCTCAAGACTAAACAAGCCAAGTTTTTTTTAACCTTTCCTTATAGATCAGGGTTTTCTAAGCCTTTTATCACCTTTTGTCACTCCCTTCTGGACTATCTCCAATCTGTCTACATCTTTCCTAAAGTGTGGCACCCAGAACTGAACACAATACTCCAGCTGAGGCCTCATCAGTGCCAAGTAGAGCGGGTCAATTACCTCTTATGTCTTACATACAACACTCCTGTTGACACATTCCAGAATGATATTAAACTTTATCACAACTGCATTGCACTTACGACATTGGGGTTTTTTTTTAAGACAATTGTCATTATTCTGGTGTTCTCACTCCTTTCTTTCCTTAGAACCATGAAATCTTTCATTTCATGATCACTTTCACCCAAATTGCCTTCCAGCTTCAGATTCACAACCAATTCTTCACAGT